CCTCACACAATACACCTCCTACGACAGACGGAAACATTCGAAAGTATCTTAAATGGGAACAATATCCCATTGCAAACGTGCCAGTAGCTCGATACTTCCGGGAGTTGCTCACAAACAAAATAATGGCGACTTTGTCCCCTGATATACGCTAGCACCAATTTATCACCAAAAACGATAAATGGATCGTAAAAAAACTAGTTATTCCATTCATAAAACCGAATTATCAACCTTTGGAATGTGGGTAGTACTACCTACCATTCTTAATTTTGGGCTGGTAAAGCAGAATAATATATGCAGCTAAAAATCATCTAAGTCAAATTTTAAGAATCATTTAAGTCAAATTTTTCTTTTCAGTCAAAGCGATTTAAATCTAATTTAATCATTATCAATACTTATCGAAATTTACACTCCTCGGCCGTAAAAAAGAGCGCTACACCCGCTTATCAAGATCACTCAGATGCTTTTTTTTTTGTCATGACTCGCCACTGATAAAAAGAAATTTTCAAAAAAAAGGAGCAAAGCATATAAGTAAGAACTATGAATGGATTTACATGATCATCTCGCAACTGGCATCCAGCATTTCTCTGCCGGAGACAAGAACTGGTTGCTGAGCCGCTGCACCGGATGTAGATATTTTTGCTGGTACTGCTGCAAACTGGGGATTATCGACAAATGTCTCCAGCTGTTCAGCTGCTGTGTGCAACGACCGTGCTGCTTCCGTGCATTCACGCTGATTTTTTTCACTAAAAAATTTCAAATTGCATATTCCGTCCCACTTTTCTCAAAATTCGAGTTTACTAAAACGTTTTTGCTGGCGAATAAAACATCAATTCCACATGACAGGTTGGCAGGCCACATAACTACAGCAACACAAGGAAAACTTGCATGCTTGATCCAGCGCCGCTTTAAATGCGGCATAACTTTTGACAAATCTGTTTCTGTGTCAAACAAAAAGAAAATTTGGGCTGAACATTTGCCCAGAGTGGAAAAAAAGAGGGATAACACGGATTACTGGAAAAAAAAACTCAAGCAAAAACACAAGTTGGAAAGGTCGCCATTGAAATGAGCCGATCTGGCTGTTGCATGAATTTATGAGAATGCTGCAAGCCTGATACAGTGGAGGACAGGGCGGTTATGAACTGCACCAAAGAAGAACTGTGATGATATAACATTAACTGGTTGAGGTTTCAAGGAATGTTCAAAAAAATGCATACGTAAATGAACTGTCCAGCTGTTTGACAGCGGTTATCA